TTAAGTGTCTTCTGAATTGATTCGCGAGTTTCCAACTTTATATCTATTGCAACTTACCAGCCCAGCCTGTTCATTTTGGCTGATATTACGGGCCATCATCATTGGAGCCCCTCAGTGCTCAACGCTCACGTCATAACTGAAATCCCCGAGGCTCTCGTTTTCTTCCCTTTTCTATTTTCTTTTTTCGAAAAACCCGAAATAGAAAAAATAATCAAAAAGAAAAAAAGAAAGTAAAAAAAAAAAAAAAAAAAAAAGAATTTCTCTTCCCCCATTTTTTATTATTTTCTCAATTTTTATTTTATTTTATTTTTCTGGCCCTTATTTTATTTTTTACGCCTTCGCTTTTCCTCTTTGTCCCTTTATTTCCCTTCTATATTTTCCCTTACCTTCCCACCCCCTCCTTACCATCCTTCCCTGACCCTTGCTAAATTTGACCACCTCGACCTCTTAATCGTCTTCCTTCCCTCCACCGCCTCCCTCTTGCCCCCTGGTCTTTTTTCCTTCCCTCCCTCACCTATCCGCGCTCATCTCATTCCTCGGCTTCTTCCATCTGCGGATTAGAACCTCTTTTTGGTTTTCTTTCCCTCTTTTTAATTTCGCCTTCTCAACTCAACTCACTCCCTTTCCTGCTTTTTACTCTTTCCCCCCTCATCTGGCTCTTCTGCCTCCCCCATCCTGGCTTAAGCGTGACCACGAGGCTATGCTAGCTTCGAAAATCACCCGACGGGAGCTGGAATTGTACTTGAATTGGTCGACTTTCTGACCGGCTTTGACTCCGCATCGACACAACCTGGTCGCCTTACACCGACACCTTTCGCCTCCGTACATACTTTACGTACTTACATACTGCTTACATACATACGACCGTCCATTCCTTGAGCCATACATACGAGCATACATACAGTCAGACAGCATCATACATACATACACTTTGCCCGTGCGGCCCGCGCTCTCCAAGGAACCTTACCATTTCCACCATCCCTGCCTACCTTTTCGCCTGAACGACCCGCGGGACCGTGACTTTCACCTCACATCATCCTGCATCTGTTCTCTGGCTTCTCTCCGTCGCCCGTTCCCGTCTTTTCTTTTTCCTCTTTCCTTTTTCCTTTTCCTTTTCCTTTTATAAATCAGCTTCTCCGGCACGCTCGCTCTACCAATGTCCGGCAATCCCAACGACCACAACGACCCGAACCGGCAGGGCCCGTACCGCAATCCCAACGATTTCAACGATCCTAATCGGCCGGGACAGTATCCGCCTCCACCGCAATGGAACACTAGTCAACCTGAGCAGCCTGGTGATGGTCAACAACCTCCTCACTATCCGCCAACCTCACAGTATCCTGTATGTTGCCCTCTGCCTTCATCTCACATTGTCGCATATATGCATCAATCATATCTTTTGTTTTCAATTATCCCCTCATTTGACCTCGATCTCCGCTGGCCTGCGATGCGGCTCTTACTCGAGTGTTAAAACGGTGCATTGGCTAACCTTGATGCTCTCTTCACCCCATTAGTATCCTCCGGCTTCGTACCCTCCACCAGCTTCATACCCCCCAGCTTCCTATCCACCACCAGATCACCAATACCCGCCTGCACCTGGACAGTATCCGCCTCCGCCGAACATGGCAACTATTCCCCCTCAGTCGCAGGACCCCTACCGCATGGCGCCCCCTCCCGGCTCCTACCGCCCCCCAGACATGTACAGCGCACCCCCTCCGCCTCAAGTAGTCTATCAAGCTGCTGCTCCTCGTCAGCGGACTGCCATCGCGTGTCGCTACTGCCGGAGACGGAAGGTACGTTTGTCAAATGGCTCCCTTTATGGCAGGCCCGTATTATACTCGGTCAGAACTGACCTTTTTTTTTTTGGAATCAATAGATCCGTTGCTCGGGATTTGAAAGCTCTCAGGATGGACGCTGCAGCAACTGCATCCGATTCAACCAGGAGTGCATGTTCACGCCAGTCTCATCCCAGGCGCAAGCCTTTGTCCCTGCCCATGCCGCCTACCCCCACCTACGGAATGCCCAGAACCAAGGCCGCGGACCGCCTCCCGGAGGAGTGATGCTCTATGGTGCTCATGGCCAGCCTCTCCCACCACAGCAGCAACCGGAGAGTACACTTCCATCGGTGTACCCCCCTCAATACGCAAACGCTCCTCCTCTCCCCAATGGAGCTCAGGATCATGTGAGTAGCACGAGCTTCTTATTGCGATCCAATTGTTTCTCTGGGTACTAATTTCCCTAATAGAGGCCTGTTGGTCGTCGAGGATCAGGCTCGGGATTTGAATACCCTGATCCCACCAATCTCGCCCCGGTGACACCCGCTACATCTGCATCTGGCTATCAGACGTATAGTGCGACGAGTCCGTACTATCCGCCGCCGCCTCAACATGAGCGACGTACCTCTCCGCAATCGACTTATCCCTATGATGGTCGCCATTCCTCGTCTCCTCACAGCTCTCCGTATCCTCCTGTGAACCCCAACCAGACTCCTCCCCCCACTTCCACCCCCGGGGGTTCATCTCGCGGCGGATTGAATGTGCGAGACATGTTGAATCCTGGAGAAGGTCAGAATCAGGGCCAAGGCCGCTCTAGCACTGATAGTGACATGCTCAATGCATTGAACCGTCGGGGCCTAGGCCAATAGTGCTGCGACTATGCCGACATGACATCCAGCCAACAGGTTGGCTATGATGGGGATTAGGGTGGTTTGACGGATATGAGTTCGAAAGATTATGGAAATGCAGCGGAAGGAGGCACGTCCAAGTTCGTCGATGGCTGACGCGCAAAGCTTGTGTGCTGGTCACACGTCCATGTGATAGTCGTGGTAATATTCATCCCATGCTGCTCGTTTTGCAGCCATTGCCGCACGTTCATTGGGGTACGAAAGAGCAAGAGGAAGCGAGGACAACGAATTCATGTGCAATGCCTGGATGGAGATCACACCTTTCTAAATCACGCCGACTGTTGAAGCGCAACGCAATGCCTTGAGTGAGTAGAGGTCCAAGGAAATCAGAATATAAAAACAATCGAAAAGGAGAGGAGGCAAAAATGGAATTTTTTCTTCAGCTACGAGGTCATGGAAACGAGACGCAAAAGAGTTACGAGCTGCACGATTCAAGTGCGAGGGTGTCTGTCTTGTTGACTATTCTATACGGTCATCTGCGCATGTGGATGTCGATGTTGCAGCGCTCAATCGGCAGCTACAGTGCCTTGACAGTCATCATATCGCACTCTGTTCTTTTCATCATCTACAACTTTTTCCCTTTCCGAAGACACTGTTACTGGCTATAAACTACTTAGGGCGACCTACTAATTTCGTTTTTCTTGTTGGTCTTTCCGCTCGTTTTCACTACCAGGTCCAGTTCGAAGCTCCCAGAATTGTCAAGCAAAGTGAAATCTACACTCTGCGTCCTTCGATCAGTGACCGCATCTTGGAAACAGGCGGTTATGCTGGGATTACCTGGATGACGAGCTTTGATCGGACGCTCCATCTGTCGGCAATGTCTATCTTTGCGTTAGCCATCACGAAACGAATCAATGGTGCGAATATCTGCTGCATTTCCATTTCTTCCGAACAAGATGTGTGATGAGGCTTTCTTTCTTAAATGTTATTGGCGGTGGCTTTGTCTTTTCCATGTGTTTCACTACTTTCGGGAGGCTATCTGTCCTGCGTTCATGCTCTTGTTTCCGAGTTTTGTTGTCTGCTCTGAAACGGCTTGTTTTGGGACGGTACTTTGCCATCATTCGCGAAAAAGGAGGTCATTCTGGTTTCAATTTTGATGTTCTGCTTTATTCGTATTATACTTGGGAGGCTGTCTGATCAACTTTTACAACTTGCAATCACCATGCGTTCTGTTACATGCGAATTGTTTTTGGTGCCTATTTTGATTTGTGCATATTATTCGTTGTTTTCCTGCGTTACCTACCTCATATAGTCCAGTATCGAACACCTACGTATCTTGTTTATTATGTATCTTTCCTTCCATATAGGCCATTGTAAGTAAGACTTGGCTCTTGGCTTGCCAGTTTAGGCAATCGATTATCCATGATCCTGTATTGTAATCTAACCACTAGTATTGCCTGGAACCAGCATTCCTTACTTGCTATCTTAGTTGATTTCCCAAACTTGGATGACTACATAGACAATCGAAAAAGCACAGCGTCCGTCCATCATCTGCCCTCACCCATATTAGTAGTATCGTACATAAAGAGCTACTATTTACCTCCAATAGCCCTCTCACAGAAACAGTCCCCAGCTACCCTCGAAGCTGGGGAGAATATAGTCCAAAAGAAGCCGGTTAAGCTCTACATACAGGCCTTGGAGTAAAATTATTGAACTAAGCTGTAATTATTAGAGCTAATGGTGCTAAAAGCAGGTATGTATACAAAGTACTAACAGCTAACTGGCTCGCTGGCTGGCATATAACAAATAGAGAAATTGTGTGATTTTGTTTTTGAGGAAGGATTGTAGGACGAGTTAGGGATTCAGGGTAGGTCCTAGGGAATTGGCTAGCGAGCGTTGGTGTCTAAAGAGACTTTAATTCGATTCGATTTGGCTTCAACGTTCAATCAATTAATTGACTGGAGACACGATAGGACATGGGACAATACACGCTGGAGTAGAATACAAAGTATAGAATGGAAATGAAGATCACGAAGGAAGAAAGGAAATGTTTCAGAAAGAGTGACAGAAGTGAGAAAGTGTTAGACAGATAAGGAGAAGTTGAAGATCAAGCGAGTGAGTGTTTTTGTTTGGTAGATAATTGGTTGGGAATGGAACCTGAGGAGGTCAAGAGGGTTGGGGAGACAGAGATTATGAACATGAAGTCCGGAAAGAGATTTGTTGAGGGTATATGCAGTAATATTTGAAGGGACCTTGTAGATAGGTTGGTGGTAGAAGGCTTGCAAAGTCCATCCAGATGGTCATGATAGTCCAGAAACAGTTTAGGGGAGTGAGATGGGGATAGGAATCAAAAGGGTGGGTAGGGATTATCTGATCTTCAAGGGTTCGGGTAGTCGTCCAGAATTCGAACCATCTCTTTTGCTCGCGCAGGATCTTCCATGAGCATGTGCTGGCCCTTCATGAGGAGATAGAGAGTGTCCACCACCTTGTGGAAGGATGACGCTGCTCCCCGCTCTTGCTTGAAGCGGACGAGGCTGAGGTTCTCCTGTCGACCTTGTTCTAGATATGTGCAGAATTCAGCGGAGAATTGGACCGGTCGAAGATTTAGCACTGTAAGTCAGATGGGTTAGTTGGGCTTCTTCCATGATGATTGGATCCGTGTGGTCTGGAGACGTACAGTTGACTTCACCCACGCTTCCGTAGATGACTCGTTTGTCCTTGTCAAGGTAAACCTCCTCCATACCCCATTTCTTCCACTCACGCATTGTCTTATGGATGTATTTCCGGGCTTTGGTGGTCGATGTGTTGAGTGCTATCACTCGAGTAGCAGGCTTGAGTTGGAATACGCGTGCGAACCAGTTCTGGCTCTTGCCTCCACCGCGCGGAGGAGGTGGAAGAGGTTTGCCGTCATATTCGGTGTCTGTTGTGTTACCAGTCTCGATGTTCTCGTGGAGCAAGACATTGGTTTCTGCAGTGTCAAAGCCTGTACTTGGTGATGAGTTTCCTGTTTTAGCTATATGGGTAGACAAAACTAACCTGTATCCTGGTTCTGAGATTCCTTGCTTGCTCGTCTATTCATTAGTCTTCTGAAGAATCCGCCTTTAGGCTTCGTCCGCGACGGCTTTCCATTGAAGTGACTATCTCGCTGGGTGTTGGCCTTCGCTTCTCTCGAGTCACCTTGGTGGTGCCTGATCACAGTAGCTGAACTCGGTTGGATTTGCGGGACGTCGCTGGAATCTCTTGTAGTGTGATCCCCTGCCATCTGAGCCCTGTTCTGGAACCACGACCATTTCTTGTTGTCCGAAGAACGGGTGCCGTTACGTCTGGGTGATCCTGGCGTTTCTTCAATGGGGTCGAGTTCGCAGGGACCCCGGTCTTGGCCGGGGTTCAGGGAAGCGAACTTGCGTGTAGATGCTGCAGCCTGCTCTTTCTCCGCATCCGTTGTGCACACGTCTGGTGTCTCTGGAATGCCTTCGGGAATAGAACTACGGTTCTTTCGAATGTTCAAGTCCTTGGTAGGCCCCATCGACTGCAGAGAACTATGAGGCACCATGCGAACTGTTCTCTTTCCATCGCGGTTGGAGCGGCCAGGATGCTTCTGGGGAGTTTGCAGCACGACTTTCCCTTGGTCTTCTGCTTTGTGAGCATTGATTAGAGGGTTGGGTGCAGTTTCCGGGAGTTTGGGTGCTTCTGGTGGCTGCGGTGTTTCACTTGACGACCGGACAGATTGCTCCCTCAGCGCACTGGGATAAGGTATAGGATTATCCCGCCGCTCTCGTCGTTTCGTTTCATCCTGCTCAATCAGACGATCTAGGTGTGCAATGATCGGCTTCAAGTAGCCCGGGATGTTCCCTGAGTCGTCCTTAGTTGAATGCTGGATCAGTTTACGACGAGTTTCAGTAAGCTCTGCGGCCGTGTATGATCGTGGCGACGATGCCGCTGGGGGTGCCGTGCGTGTGGTTGAGTGTCCTTTGGAAGCAAGCTGTTGATAAGACACCTCAGGGCTAGCGATTGACAAGGATGTTGCAGGCGTCTCGGAACCAATGCATGTGCTGGCGGTGCAATTCGTGGACAGTGAGCTGCCGTTGAAGGCCTCCTCGCATATTTGACTAAGTTCATAGGACACCTTCCGCGCATCGTCTTTCCAAATGATATCGCTATTTCGCACCTTTTTCATCTGAGGGCAATTCCTCACTGTAACACCAGCTCCACGCACAACTGTGGGCTGAGCGGGCAACGATGGGCTCTCTTGTGCGTCGGAAAATGGATCATCGTCGTAATCAGATATTACAGTGCTTTCACTTGCATCAAGCCTGATATTGCGGGCTTTCGGCCGCGGTGGCCTCGCTTTGGTGGATAGTACTGAGCCTTGCGAGCGGTTCCTTTTGTGGTGGAAGGATACATTACGTTTGTAGCTGGCAGAACGCGGCGTTGATGCGACATAAAGAGCCCGACGAGACCCAGACAACGAGGTCTTTGAATGGAATGATTTGACGGAATTGACCTTCATGCGCTTATCACGCATAAGCACGAATGGTGAGCTCGGTGGACACTCGGGCACCTGAGGCACCTGGGGCACCTCGAGATCCGTGTTCTTTGCAGCTGGCCTCGGTTGAGGAGCCGTTTCTGTGGGTTCTTTTGCGGTCTTATCGACATCGACAATGAGCCCATTACGGTAGACTGTGATCTTCGCACACTTCGCTTCTCTTTGGGGGTATTTGCCTTGTGGAGATCTGAACGGGTCGTAGCTTCGCGTCGTCGCACAGGACTTTGGCTCTTCATTATACTTGGTCCTTATTCCTGTTTCTTTCACGGGTGGAAATTGCGACCACTTCGCTGAGCTGCCCTTCGCACGTCGAGTTCGGCGACTCGGTGTACGCGGTGCCACTGATATATGGTGATAGTCGCTGGCGGAGTGCTCGAGAGTCTGTCCCTGATAATTTTCCAACTGTTCGTTTCTAAATTTGACCAAAGCATTGTAAAACAGGCGTTGATGGCTCGGACTAGTTGTTCGATCAACCAATCAGCTTCAGGTTCACCCGCTCGCTATCCTCCATGCAGGCGGCACATGTATCAAAATCAGGGACACGGCTTGACTTACGTAGGATCTAAGATTCTCTTCAGTATTGCTTCTGGGGTAGCATCATGCCATAGTGTCTGCAGGTTTCTCAGAAGGTCGATGTCGACGTCTTCCTTGTTGGTGATGGGTGGGCCACAGTCTTCGGGCATAAGCGGCGGTGCAGGGCCGATGTGATAGTCCACTGCCCCTTGGTAGCGCTTCTCATACTTCCTAATAAGAGGGTGTCTCCAGATTTCGCTCATGCTAATTCGATGGTCCGGGTTCTTCTCCAATATCCGAATGATGAGGTCCGCTGCTTCACGGCTTATATTCGGAGGGATTTTAAACTCTCCTCGCCTCACTAGCTCTAGTGTGCGATGGGTGTCATCTCCGTCGAATGGCAGAAAGCCTGTCAGTAATGCATATAAGATAATGCCGCAGCTCCATATATCTGCCTTGTCACCTAGATATCTCTTCCCTCCGACGATCTCCGGCGCAGCATAATGTGGACTTCCGCAAGACGTGTCTAGCCAGCGATGCGATGGCTGAAGAGCGGCCATTCCAAAGTCAGCGAGCTTCACATTGCCCTGCGCATCAAGAAGTATGTTTTCTGGCTTCAGGTCTCGATGACAGATGTTGAAGCGATGGCAATAACCCAGACCAGCAATTATCTGGCAAAATATTCGTACCGCTTCGTCCTCTCTGAGAGGGGCGTTCTCAGAGACGTACTCGAACAACTCGCCCCCTTCAACGAACTCCAATACTAGGTACCTACGTAGTGTTAGCCATAACTTCCAGTTGCGTCCAATGTCACCTACAATTCGCCCCGGTTCTCCCAAACATCATAGAGATTGATCACATTTGGGTGTTCGATCAGCTTCATGATGACAACCTCGCGCTCCAGCCCGGATGGGATCTGGCGCGGCCCTATACCCCCTATACGATTGGCCTTCTTATCCATTCCCGCAATACTCGCACTTTGCGTTATGGCGGCGGATTTCTTCGAGACGATCTTGATCGCAGCCAACTGCCCCGTTACTGAATGCTTCGCCAGTCTTACGCGGCCGCTCACCCCCGTGCCGAGTGTCCTTCCGAGTTGCCATGGTCCCACGTGTGTCTTCCTCTTGCCTTGGTTGGTGATTATTGACGCCGCTGACATTACAGAATTGCGGTTAGTCCCTGGCTGTGAGCCTGGAGCCGGGCTGCTGCAGTTGACATCGGCATTCTTTGCGGACAGAGGACTTGTCACAATGGACATCGGCACCGGCGATGTCATCTGTTGCTGTGGTTGTCTCAGTGGCTCCTCTCGCTCTGTAATCGGGGCAAGGCATTTGTTTACTCTTGCTGAAGCATCCGTCAAGGGAGTCCGCATTGTGTCGGGAGTAAGAAGAGCTGTATCCCCGTCCATCTGCCCCGTTTATCGAAGAAAAAGTCAATCAAGCACGCGTCTGCATATAGAAGATCCCTGTATATGCCTCGATTGTTTTATGCTGGGCTGTCATATCGTTAGAAATGAAGAGAATATTGACGCGTATGCATCACGATGGATTAGACTGATACATACAGTTGACAAGCTCTCTCTATAGGTTTGGAGTAGTCACTCACGCGTAGTCCTTCCTAGGAAACGCGCCCGTCGTGCAAACAGCGAATACTTGAGGTTGTTGTTTGTTGAATCGCCTATCGTCTGCTCCTGCTGTTCTGTTAGTACTCTCCTGCCTGTTTGCCCTTTCAGGTCCCCATGTAGTGCTATGAGGGAAAGGCAGTCAACCACAACGTTTGCGGATCAAACCAACTCCAGACTGCTATGGCTAGGTGAGAGGGGCATAGGAGTGCAGATGAATCTCCTAGAGTACCGGTAATCTCCTGGAGGCATGCTTTCCTGAGCCATGCTCCGCGGCCAAAGTGAGCAAACATGGTTTTTTCAGCCGGGTTTGCTACATACCACGGCGAGGAGAGTCTGTGGAATGACCATCGAGTGTTTGTTTTGCTCGGAATTCCTTTCCACCCACCCGGGCATTCGGCAATATTGTGTGAAGTACAGTTTGGAATGCGGAAATCAACCCGGGCTAATTATGCTTTCTTGCCAGTACTGCTGACTACAAAAAGTTGAAATAAAGGAATCCTCTATCTATCTCATTGATGCGACTCATCTCAGGAAATGGATAAGGTGATTTTGATAATATTCATTTTTGCAGGCATAATACTTTGATGCCGCATTGACTAATCTTTGATTTCGAGGATGGTATCTAAGGATTCGCCATACTCATCTTTCCATTAAATTCCCCGGATGTGATCGAAACCCCTAGGCTCATCGAAATGCGACGTCATTGCAGACACCGGTGCGATAAAGAGGTGGCTGGGATCTTTGGCAAGTCAAAGGGACATGCATTCCCCCCTTCGTGGCGTGAAGACAGGGGTTTGCACGCCGCTCGAGTCTGTCGAATACTCCAGACAGGCTTACTTTGCCCCTTGTTTACACTAAGTTTTTAGTCGCAAGGATAGGGATAACTGTTGCCCTTCGCTCTTGCATTGCGCTTCGGAGATTTTACCTGCGGTCTCTGCATGTGTAGACGCAGGCCACTCATCGACTGTCTTATCACATGATCATCTAACAACCGTCGATAAGGGCATAACACCTTCTAATATGTTGATAGATTTCCTTGTCTGACGGGTATCTGAAGGGGACGGAGAAACTGAACTTGGAATCCTGCGGTACTTCTCGCATCCGACATACCATGGGAGCATCATGAATCGCCATAACTCGGACACTTTGCTTTTCTTTTTATTGAGGGAATATAGAATATAGGGAGTATTGCTAATGCAGTAAATGACAGCGGCCTTATGGTGTGCAGAAATTAGAAGTAGCCTTTCACCAATGTTCCTCTCCAATTTCGACGTCTTCGACATCTACACCGTCCACAAACCATCTTCCCTCTCCATTTCCATCAGGCCCGATGAGCACATCATTGCCGCTCATCATTCTCTTACACATCTTTCCTGTCTCTCGATCGAAGGTCCAGTCTTCAAGACCATAACACCGCTTCCAACGCAGACCATCATCAATATCTTGATACTCGTACCAAAACTGCACTGCAATGCGGTTATCGGTGAAGGAGAACAACTCCTTTCGCAGCTTATAATTCTCTTCCCTCTTCCACTTCGCAGTCAGGAACTCAACGATTCCCTCTGTTCCGGAGAAGAATGACGTCCGATTGCGCCAGATACATGTTGGCGTATAAGCCTGTGCAACTCGCACGGGATCCCTACATGTAAAGCCCGTGAGTATGCGAGCAAGCAGTAGAGCAGAAACAGTGTGTGAGTTTCAGCAGCTGTTAAGAATGCCGTGGGGTATCAGAGAGAAATGGAATTAAATCACTGCAGGGCGTGAAGAATGGGAGACACGAGGTAAAGGCCTCGATTGGACGCAAGGGGTGAAAATCTGAGTTCACAACAGACTCTAACCCCTCATACCAGCGTCGAAAATGACGACAGGGTGCAAGATACAGGATTCTAGATCTCCCAGAGGGATACATGTCGTGGAGGGAGGGAGTTCTTACTTGGTGTTCCATAGGTTCTGAGCTGCCTTGACCTTCTTCCGAGCCGATTCTTCGGTGAAAGGGGGCTTGATGTCAGCCATGGTGTAGTAGTTTGTTTTGATATAGAGAGATGGAGAAAACTCGGATATGTTGGACAGATTTGGGATTAAGCAGGAAAAGTGAGATAGTCAGTTAGAGAGCTTATTATTGACTCATTGTACATAAGCCGTTACACGTCACGTGGGGCTAGCGGTCGTTGAGATGTTAGCGCTGCATTAGAGGCTTCCGCTCAGGACGATCAGTAACTGTCATTTCATCAGTGTGTAAATGAAATTATATTGAGTAACTAGTAATATTGCTGTTTATTGGACTCGATCATTTGAGTTCAAATCATTGATGTGGCGACCCGCTCATGCTACCTGTTACTACTAGTGTTCTTCTCGTAGGGCGGATATATATATTCATTGGATCCCTGCCAGTTTACTACTGCTACTACAGATCACTTTTAGGGAAAGTGTGTAATTGATGTCATGGTTTATAGGGATGAGCATCATAAATTATAGCCTGCTAATATTACTTTAAGACAGAAACATATTATCTACCATTGATAGTCAGCTTTGTCGGTTAACCAAAGTCTGTGGAAGACTACTATCCCCGCACTTGTTGCCTACAGGGATAGCATCCTGCGAGGTACTTACTCATCAGCTTATCAGCCTATCGGTGAAGGTCGCAAGGAGCGCAAGGCTATTCCAGGTTAGGAAGGCCCGCGGCACAATGCGATCCTTCCAGAGTAGGAAGCTGCCTGGCATGAAGTAATCGCAGGGCTAAGCCGTGCAGCTACTGAATCTCACCACTCGGACCTGATATTTGCATCCGGCTTACAAGGGTATATCATCTCAATATACTCTAGCGGACGGAAACTAGCTACTAGTGCTTTGAGCTGACTCGGCCGCTATAAATATGCGGTCTTATGCTCGTGACAGGCAAATGCTCTGACCGCCAGAAAGTGAGCAGGATTAGCACCGTTGCGACCTCCTTTTTAGAGCGCCATCCTATTAAGCAAGCGGTCTATCATACCATTAGATCCAAGGCATTCATACAATGTCTCTAGATTCGAAACTACCTGGCCACCGGCCTGGTATGGCAGTAGCGCCATCTAGGCCACACCCTGTCAAAGGAGCAACCATTCGAATTCTCCTTTTCCTCGCTCTGGTCGCGTTTGCTATCATTCACATATGTGGCGGACTTGACAGAAGCAAGAGCGTTGAACAACAGCTGCCAAGTCCAACTCCTGATGATAAGTCCTTTGAATGGGAAGATGTAGGCTAATCTAGCAGGTTGGGATGTAATGTTCTAATATACGCTATCAGATTACCCCCACCGAACAACTCGTATACCATCCATGCTTTGACCATCACGAATGCGCTCGCTTGTCGCTTCCAATGAACTGGAATCGAACGGATGGCGAAGGGTCAAAGATTGCCTTGGCTGTTATCAAAGTTCCTGCAAAAGTACCTGTCACAGATGCGCGATATGGTGGGGCCATTCTTCTGAATCCAGGTATGCAGAGTCACATTACTACTTTACAAAGTTTCTTCTAATTGTAAAATAGGTGGTCCTGGTGGATCCGGAGTGAGCTTGGTCTTCAGATATGGGAAAGCTATCCAGACCATCGTCGACTCCCCAGAATCGCCAAGTGCAGATTCGGCGAGCGGAAAGTATTTTGATGTTGTCAGCTTTGACCCAAGAGGGGTAAATAATACAACACCTAATTTATCCTGCTTTCCTGACTCCGCGACGAGGAAAGCGTGGTCACTGCAATTAGAGGCAGAGGGTCTACTTGGAAGTTCTGAAGGAGCATTCGATACTCGATGGGCAAGGTATGAAGCTTTTGGTATGAGCTGCAATCAACAAAGAGTCACAGCGTCAAAGGACGGTGAATGGATAGGAAAATTCATGAATACGGCCCCTGTGGTGGCGGATATGGTTGAACTCGTAGAGCGCCATGGAGAATGGCGCGAACGGGAAACAGAGCGGCTACTTTCGACGGATTCGAACACGTCCCCCGCTGAAGCAAACCTGGACGCGGAGAGAATAAGTCTGCACAATCGCTGGAACAAAGGGGAGGAGAAGCTGCTCTACTGGGGCTTTTCCTATGGGACAATCCTGGGTTCCACGTTTGCGGCTATGCAGCCCCATCGCATACACCGTGCTGTGATAGACGGAGTCTGCAACGCTGATGATTATTACGCAGGTAACTGGCTTACCAACTTACAAGATTCGGATGCAGCACTCGATAAGTTTTTCGAGTATTGCCAAACAGCTGGGCCCTCATCATGTCCGTTCGCGCTGGGCGGAGATCCCGAAGACCTCAAATCTCGTTATGAGCAACTTTTGACCAATCTTACATCGAGCCCTATTGCCGTACCTCCCTCAGGAAACAGGGGACCAGAGATTATAACCTATAGTGACGTGAAGTCATTGGTTGTGCAGGCTCTCTATACTCCTTTGAAGTCGTTCGATCTAGTGGCCCGGTTGTTGACTGAGCTCGAGCAAGGTAACGGCTCTTCCTTCGCTGATCTCAAGTACGAAGCCAAACAATGGCCAGCACCTCCTCCCTGCGATTCCTCCAAACAGTACAAAGTACCTGGCGAGAGCGATCAGGAGGCCTCGAGGAGTATTCTATGCACAGACGGTCCAGGCCTCGACGGAACCGCCAAGGAGGAGTTCCGGAGCTACTGGAATAGGCTCCAGGGACAAAGTAAGGCGGTTGGAGATTTTTGGGCTGAGATTCGCATGTCGTGTGTCAGAATGAGGACGCGGCCTGAGTGGCGCT